CCCCCCCACATTCTTAATTTTGAACGTGCACAGGTCATGAGCCCGTTGGCTATGTGCACAACAGGTGGTGCACAACCAAAGTTGTATTTAAATTGTGCGGTGCACAGAAATGTTACATTCCATACTGGGCTGGGTGCATTAGGGTGCAATTCAGTCAATTCTAGCAAGCTCATATAGCCTAAAGAATTTATGTAAAATATGTTTAATAACAGCCCTCGACAACGAGGTTGGCATTTGGCAATGTCGACCTAAATGCCAACCTGTTCAGCAATTTTTCTCAATCCAGTTCTCAGTAGAACTTTCGTTTTTCAGCTGCCGACAGCAGTTCAAAAAGTCACCTGCATGTTTGTTCATTATTCCTTATTCCAGATGGTACCTTGTTCACAGCTTGTAATATTCCACAGTCAGCGAAACTGCGAAAGTTGTTGAGTATTTCTAATGGAAAACAGCTGTAGCATTAAAAATATGGAAACACAAAATTTGGCTTGTGTTACTGGTGGTTGCTGCTGCTTCAAAATTACAATGCCAGAGAAACAGAGAAAGTATTCAATCTAAAAAATGCTGACAGGTGCTGACCTGGGTCAGATTTAGGTCAGCATTGTTTTGCAGACCCCAATTTTGACTTTTTTTTCAAGGGCTGTGCTATTAACATTATTTGAGCTGAGCTAATTTCTTGTAAATCTTGTAAGGCTCAGGAAGAGACTTGAGACCAAATTTTTATTACATTATCTAAAGTTTTATTAATGTTATGGTTTACAATTCCATTATAATAATTGTAATCATGCTTGGTAATATTGTGCATTCTACCTAGCTACAAGTTGTGATCATAGTCAAATTAATAAATTTTTGTTACAGTTCTGGAAAATGTCCATCTGCATGTCAGCAGCAACGCTGCCAGGAAATTGTGAACAAAATACCTTAGCAGGAAAACATACACCTTGCGGGAAATTTTATTTAAACTGGAATGCCATATAAGTTACTTATTGTTTAAAAGTTCCAGAAGCATTTTCTAAGTCCAGATTGTCTTGTGCCGAAATTGAAGTTTATCACAATGTGTGCAGCACTATAGTCTATACAGCTGTACATTCTCTGAAATCTGCACATGCAGGACGTTTTGTATTTTGCTGGCAGGAAGAGAAATATGTTTTTGCTAAGGCCTGGTTTGTTATGTGTTGGTCTTATTGTATACGGTACCTTCAATTACATGCATCTATCTATTTAGTATATGGGCTACATGAGTTATGTTGAAACAAAAGAAGCTTTTGAAAGAGAGTTGTTGTCCATGGGAAAATCTGTTTCTCATCCTGTAGTTTCCATTCACAGTGATAGACAGAAAGTTGACATTGAGGTATTTATGTGCAGTATATAAGTTGTTAAATATTGTTCAGGATCTGTGATTTGTCCTTTTGCCATTTTGGAGTTGTTTTATTACTGTTGTGTGTTGTTGTCGCATGTTCTACTTGCACTGTTGTTTTTGTTGCATGTTTTTGTTGTTGTTGCATATTTTTTGTTGTTGTTGCATGATGTTGCTGTTGTTACTGGTGTTGTTCTTGTTGTTGATGAGGTGATGTTGTTTTTGAGGATGATGATTATAGTATTTGTTATTGTTGATGTTGTTGTGGTTACAGTTATTGTTATTATTTGTTCATGTTGTTGTTTATGTTGTTGTTGTTATTCATGTTGTTGTTGTTCATGTTGTTGTTCATCAGCATGTTGTTGTTGCTCATGTTGTTGTTATTCTTGTTGTTGTTCATGTTGTTGTTGTTCATGTTGTTGTTGTTTATGTTGTTGTTGTTTATGTTGTTGTTGTTTATGTTGTTGTTCATGTTGTTGTTGTTCATGTTGTTGTTGTTCATGTTGTGTTGTTCATGTTGTTGTTGTTCATGTTGTTGTTGTTCATGTTGTTGTTGTTCATGTTGTTGTTGTTCATGTTGTTGTTGTTCATGTTGTAGTTGTTCATGTTGTAGTTGTTCATGTTCATGTTGTTGTTGTTCATGTTGTTGTTGTTCATGTTCATGTTGTTGTTCATGTTGTTGTTGTTCATGTTGTAGTTGTTCATGTTGTTGTTGTTCATGTTGTAGTTGTTCATGTTGTAGTTGTTCATGTTGTAGTTGTTCATGTTGTAGTTGTTCATGTTGTAGTTGTTCATGTTGTTGTTGTTCATGTTGTTGTTGTCTGTTGTCGTCGTCGTCGTTCATGATGTCGTCGTCGTCGTTCATGATGTCGTCGTCGTCGTTCATGATGTCGTCGTCGTCGTTCATGATGTCGTCGTCGTCGTTCATGATGTCGTCGTCGTTCATGATGTCGTCGTCGTCGTTCATGATGTCGTCGTTTGTTCATGTTGTAGTTGTTCATGTTGT